ATTCTGCCTATTATTCCAGAGTATTAAAAATGAAATAATACATCCTCATTATTTTTTCAGGGCAAGTATAATAATGTTATCAAAATCTAATAAAGATAATACAAAACAGAACACTATAAACCATATTAATCATCAATATCAATACAGAAAAGCTAAATAAAATATCAGCAAATTGAATGCAATACAATACAATAAGAAACAATATGCCAAGGCCAAGTGGAATCTACTTCAGGATGTAAGGCTGTCCAAATATTAGATATCAAAGTCCATATTAGTAGATTTAAGAAAGAAATCATACTATTATTTTCAAAACTGTTGAATGCTGAAAACAACTAAAGAAAACAGAAACAGAAGGGTATTTTAAATATTTAATTATATGCATACACAGATATGTACATATGTATGTGTATATATGCACAAGTCTGTGTGCACATATATCATAGTGTGTGTATATATGCATAAACACACATGCCATAGTCCTAAAGCCAACATAGACCTAAAGCCAGTGTGTAGTGGGTGGAATACTAACCCCAGAAAAGCTTTGTCTAAATTCTGACAATCAGTACCTATGAATCTAACCTTATTTGGAAATAGGGTCTTGGCAAATGTAATTAAGTTCAGAGTCGTAGGAAGATATTACCTCATACTTAGGGTAAGCCCTAAAGCCAGTGCATTATTAGAGAAAGGCAGAAGTAGAACTGAGACACAGCAGGGAGGGCAATGGGAAGACACAGATGGAAGTTGGAGTGATGCAGCTAAAGCCAAAGAATGACAAGGATTGGGGCAACCCTAGAAGCTAGAAGGGGCAAGGCAGGCTTCTCCCTCAGAGCCTCCAGCACGAGTCAACCCTGCCCACACCGTGACTGAGGACTTCTGGCCTTCAGAACAGTGGTAGAGTAAACGTAAGTTGTTTTAAACCAGTGTATGGTAATTGTTAGGGTAGCCCCGAGACACTCATACACCCAATATGGGACTCAGGTGAGAGTCACTGGGGAAACCTCACTAAGACCAGGCTTGAAGAAAGGAAGCCGAGATCTCTGCTAGCATTCAACACAACCAACTCTCACAGTTCACGTGGTCAGTATTTGCAGTCTCCCTTGCTCACTAAAGCTTTTTTTTTATAATCAATTTTTTTAATTATATTGTGGGGTACAGTTAAGGGTTAGGTATACAAATATGCTCCGTTCAGGCACCCTTGTTGATAAGAGGTCTCTCCCCATCCCAGACAGATATTTACTACCATTGATCCCATCTCCCTTCCCCTCCCAACCCCATAGTTTCCCACCACTGTCAGTCATTTCCTTATAGTATCACATTGGATGTTCAAGGTCCACTACATGAATGAGAACATGTGATACTCAGATCTTTGTTTCTGTGAGAGATCACTCAGTATTATAGACTCTGGTTCCATCCAGGTTGCTGCAAAATTCATGATTTTGTTCTTTTTTATGGCTGCATGGTATTCCACCGTGTATATGTACATTTTTTTAATCCAGTCCTCTTTTGATGGACAGCATGGTTGCTTTCAGGTTCTTGCTATTGTGAACAATGCTGCGATAAACATGCGTGTGCAGGTATCTTTTTTATAGAGTGATTTGAGTTATTCAGTGTATATTCCCAGTAGGGGGATTGCAGGGTCATATGGGAGGTCAATATTTAGAGCTTTTAGGAATCACCATACTGTTTTTCACAGAGATTGCACTAGTTTGCACTCCCACCAACAGTGTAGAAGTGTTCCCTTTTCGCCACACCCTCTCCAGCAACTGTTATTTTTTGAGTTGTTGATAATTGCCATTTCTGACTGGAGTTACATGGTATCTCAGTGTGGTTTTGATTTGCATCTCCCTGATGATTAGTGAGGTTGAAACATTTTTTCATGTGTCTGTTGGCTGCTCAGATGTCTTCCTTTGAGAAGTGTCTGTTCATATCTTTTGCCCACTTTATAATGGGATTGTTTGTTTTTTTCTTTTCAGCACGTTTGAGTTCCTTGTAGATCCAAGATGTTAAGCCTTTGTCAGACCTGGAGTTGGCAAATATTTTTTCCCAGTCTGTAGGCTGTCTCCCTGCTCTCTTGATGGTTTCTTCGGCTTTGCAGAAGCTTGTCAGTTATTTGCAACCTCAAATCAATGCTGGCGGCACTTTTGGAAGTCACTCACAGACATGCTGAGAGCAGGTAACAGCTTTGAGCTATTCTGCTGAGGTTGAACAAGGCTCTACCTCCTTGTTTTGGCTTTGTACAGCAAAACAAGTACCGTTTCAAGTCTAGTTGGTGACATGCTTTTTGCAGATTTGTGTCTTGGTGAGTTTCTCTGTTTAAAATGGCCCTTGGTGAGTACTGAAGTGCTGACTTATGTGCAAGAAGGCTGTGATGTGCTTAATGGAGAAAACATGGATATCAGATGAGGCAGGAATTATGGTGCTGCTGGTCATGACTTTAATGTTAATGAACCAACAGCAAAAATGAAATAAGGTGTCTTTAAATAGAAACACATATTTAATAGCAAGTCTCCATCCCCATCTCTCCCTCCATCCTGTGGCAAATATCATTCTATTTTATACTTCCATGAGTCTGAGTATTTGAGATCTCAAATAAGTGAATGCATACAGTATTTTCCCTTCTATAATTGACTATTTTACTTAACACAATGTCCCCCAAGTTCTATTCAAAGTCTCAGTTACACAAGATGAAAAAATTCTAAAGATCTCCTGTACAACATAGTACTTATGTTGAATGATACTGTATTTTACACTTAAACATTTGTTCAGAAGATAAATATCACATTATCTGTTCTTACTACAATAATAACAATAATAAACAGAAAAAAACAGAAACACACATTAAACAAGGTTATGTATTGATCAGTTGAAGTAAATGCTGTAACCAGAAGCTCAGAGGAACCTAACATTTTATTCTCCCTAGAAGCGATGGTTCAACGTTTGCTAATTAAGTGCTTGTGATGAGTTTGCAGAATATAATTGTCATGAATAAAAGAATCAACATAAAATTAACATACAAAAGTCAACAGTCTTCACATAACAAACTGTAACATGCTAGAGAACATAATGGTAGACAACAATTGCACAAAATTGGATCAAATACAAAGAAATAAACTTAACATGCTTTCTGTCTCTATAGATTTGCTGCTTATATGGGACAGTTCATACAAATAAAATCTTACAATATGTGGTCTTTTGTGACTGATTTTTTCGCCTAGCATAATGTTGTCAGCACTCATCAAAAATATAGCATGAATCAATCCTTCATTTCTTTTTATTGCCAAATATTCTGTTGTTTGGTTACACAACATTCTATTTATCTACTTATCATCTTTTGGGCATTTGCATTATTTCCTCTTTAGGGTCACAATGAACAATGCTGCTTATGAACATTTATGCATGAGTTTTTGTGTGGACACGTGTTTCATGTCTCTGAACTACATGTCTAGGCTTGGGAAACAGGGTAGCTCTTGGTTTAATTGTCTGTGAGATCGCCACAACATACCCACACACGCTATGGGCTCTGTGTCCCCTGCATCAGTCCTTACTACCTCAGCTCTTTCAGCTTCATAAGGAGTCTTGCAATTCTCTCTGCAACATTCTTCCTGTCAATATTATTTTGACATCTTTAGGTCTTTTACTCCTTATAAATTTTAGAATCCACTTACCAAGTATTACGAAAAGCACTACTTGATATCAGAGCTGCAACTAATCTATAGAGTATTAAGGGGAAAACTTGAAAGCATTGTAATATTGAGTGTTACTCATGGTTGTGGAATATTACGGTTTATCTCCTTCTATCAAGATAAAATGTAATGCTCTTAATAAGTATTTAGCATATTTGTATATGGTTCTGTACACATGTTACGTTTATGCCTAGGTACTTTATAATATTGCTGCTTGTACAGTATTTTCAGTAATATTTTTTGATTGCTGTGGGTTTGCAGAAACACTTGCTAAGACCTCCAATACAATTTTATGTAGAGATCATGAAAATAAACATTCTTGTTTGTCTTCTTTATTCAAACAAGTTTATTTATGTTTTCTATCAAAACTGATTTTATTGTAGACTTTCCGTAGTTATATCAGTTAAGGAAGTCCTCTTGTACTAGGTGTTCTCTTTGATTAACTATAAGTTTCACATTTTATGAAAGGTCTCTGAATCTACTGAGATCATCAAACTTTTCCCTTTAATCTGTTACTGAGCTAAATAACTTTTATATGTTGTCTTCTATTCATCCATCTTTGTATTAGAAAACAAAACAAACCTGGCAATTTGCATAGTTTGATACAATGCTGGTTTTATTTTGCTGAGGTTTTTCTTATGGCTTTTGGGAATTATATGCATCATTGAGATTGTCTTGTCAATTTTTTTTTCCTGGTACTGCCCTGTGGTTTTGTCATGAAGATTGCACTGGTTTATTGAATTAGGTGAGTAAAATGCCCCTCTTTCTGTTTTGTTTCATTTTTCTGTTTGTTTAAGTTTAGAATTGTCTTTGAAAGCTTAGTAGAACTCATCCATAAAATTATCTGAGTGTGATAGCACTCACCTGTAAAATTATCTGGGACTGGAAAATTCCTATGGGAATTTTTTTTAAATCACTAACTCAATTCCCTTAATAAGATTATTCAGACCTCTATATTCTTAAATCACTTTTGGCAAGGTAAATTATTTAATAAATTTTCCACTTGTACCTAAGATTTTCATTTTATTCGAAATTTATACAATATTCATTTTATCTAAGACTACAACAAACATAAAGTTATTCATATTATTTCTTAATTTTTAATCTCAAATACATCTGTATAGAGGGGGGACACAAAAAACCTTAAATATGTTTATATAAAATTGTGCATTTATTCTTACATGTTTAAATTTCAATCACCTTTACTCACTGTTTGATGCATTGCACCTATTGGGATGCTTTTTCCACTACTCAAAACAGTTTTTGAACTTTTCAGTTTTGAAGTTTTTTGTGCTTCTGCCATTTTTTTTGTTTTACCTCTTCCACATCTGCCAAGCGTTTCTCTTCAAGGATGTTTTTCTTCCAGGGAAACAAAGAGAAGTTGCTTGGAGTGAGATTGGTAGAATATGGAGGGTGGGGCACAGAGGTCATGCCATTTTTGGTTTAAAACTGCTGAACAGTCAATGTTATGTGGGTAAGTGTGTTTTCATGGTGGAAGAACCAGTCACCTGTTTGCCACAAAAAAAAAAAAATTCACTGAAGCAGAAAACAGCTTCTCACAACAATGCTAGCTGGTACACTAATGTCAATGGGTTCCTAGAACAATTACCCAATGGGGGTAGCCTGTACTACAGGGGGTCCGCCCTCCAAAAGATAATTCCAGGTTTATTGGGGCTCCCCCACATATATTAACATTGTATTTTATAATATTATTAATTTGCCTTTTGCTTTTTCCTCTTCTTTACTTCGCTGTTGGTATAATTTTTAAGGCCTCTGTCATAACTGTTGCCTTCTTTTGACTATTATTACAATTAATCTTACTCTTTTTTAACATCTGCAGGTAGACACTTAGCTTATTAATTTTCAGCTCTTCTAATATTTGTAACGTGTAAAACTCCCACATAAATCCTGCCCTCCAGCCTGGCTCGATTGCTCAGCCTGTAACCCCAGCACTTTGAAAGATCGAGGTGAGTGAATTGCCTAAGCCCACTGGTTTGAAACCAGCCCAGGCAACTTGACGAGACCTCATCTCTACAATTAAAAAAAAAATAGCCAGGTATGTAGCACATGCCTGTAGTTCTGACTACTTGGAAGGCTGAGGCGGAAGGATCTCCCGAGCCCAGTAGGTTGATGTTGGGGTGACCGTGAGTGTGCCACTGCACTCCAGCCTGGACGACAGAGTGAGACTCCAATTCAAAATAATCATCATCATCATCATCATCATCATCTTGCCCTCTTGTGCCCTTGAGTTTCCATGCATTATGTCCACTATTGCCTGTGGAGCCAGGGAACACAGTTCATGTGACTGAGCTACTTACTATCGGGTGAACTTTGTCCCATGACCTAAAACAGCGCCAGTTTTTGGAAATACCCCATAAGTACTTGAGAAGTACATATATTCCCAATGTCAGTAATATAGAATATACATTTTGGACCAAGGTCATTACAATCACTGTTCAGATTTTTCACTTATTTAGTGATGTTTTTATGTCTGCTTAATCTATCCATATCAATACTCAAGATAATTATATTCACATTTCCCTCTACAATCAAGGATTTGTCACTTTCTTCCTGTACTTCTACCAATTTTTGCTTTAGATACTTTAGAGCATTTCATTAGCTACTTGGAGTTTCTGTGTCTTCCTGGCTAGAAAAATTAATTAATGGGAAATTAATTTCTACCAATTTTTTGCGTTATCAGGGTATTTTATTAACTACCTAGAATTTCCATGTTATCCTGGTTAGGAAATTAAATAATGAGAAATTAATTTCTTACAATTTTTGCTTTACATATTAGGATATTTTATTAACTACCTAGAGTTTCTACGTTATCCTGGTAAGAAAATTCAATAATTGGAAATTATTATTATTACAACATTAGTCTATATTTGTCCCTAATAATGCTTTTGGCTTAAAGATCTATTTGGTATAAAATTAATGTAATTCACCCAACTTTCTTCTGTTTATTTCCATCCCCATCCTTCCTACTGGATTTCTATTTCTAACATATGTTCTACTTCCATGACAGAATTGATACCCTAGCAATTTTTCCAAGATAAAACGTAAGACAAAATTTAAAACATCTAATTCCTCTCTCTACAACAAACAAATTGAAGAACACCTCAGTGTAGAGGATCTACCTCCATATTTACCTGCTTTGCTGTCTAGTATATTATTTCATTCTTTTAAGAAATACAGTTGACTCTTGAAAAGCACAAGTTTGAACTGTGCATGTTCACTTGTAAGTGGACTTTTTTCCTCTTCTGCCACCCCTGAGCCAGCAAGACCAGCCCCTTCTCTTCCTTCTCCTCCTCAGCCTCTACATGAAGAAGATAAGGATGAAGGCCTTTATGATGATCCACTTCCACTTGACGAGTAGTAAATATATTTTCTCTACCTTATGATTTTCTTAATAACATTTTCCCTTTTAGCTTACTTTATTTAAGAATGCAATATAACACACTAAATGTGTGTTGCTGACTATTTGTTATCAGTAAGCCTTCTGGTCAACAGTAGGCTATTAGTTAAGTTTTGGTCAGTCAAAAATTTACACGGATTTTGGACTGGAGGATCAGCATCCCATCTCCCCACATGATCAAACGTAAGTTGTAATCCATAAATTAGTCAATAGCATCTGTATTACATTTTACAAAGCCTGGACTTCCATGAATCACGACCATCCTAATTGGTCAGTGTTTTTCTTAGACCTCACTCAACACTTCTGGAATCATTTTCCTTCTATTTGCTTAAGCAAATCCCTTAGAAGTTTCCTTCATGTGGGTGGTTCAAACGTCTATTCCCCAGTTTTGTTTTCCAAAACCATGCTCAAGATCCTGATAACAACTCCTTTACTTGACACCCAGTGCCATGGACATTCCTGCTCTTGTCTGGTTACTTCTGACTCCCAACCTTTTAAGAGTTAAGGCCTTTCCCATTTATCATAAGATTGGCAATTTCTCAAAATGCTTCCTATCCAGAATTTAATTTTTCTACCCTGAGAATTTTCCTCAGAGTACTGACCTACGTGAGGGAAACACAAGTTGATTTTTGGCATTTAAGTATGAACTCTCTTATTGTACTTTTGCTTGGTTGTATGTTTATTTTCACAAAGGATAAGCCCTTGAAGTGGGATATTTCACCCTCTACTTCTGCTGGTTCCATAATCGGATATGAGAAAAAGAGGCAAGACACTCAGGAGGCTGTCAAGCATGTTTCCTATCTTGTGGATTGCTGTGTGGCAAGTCTCCGAGGGTGGTTGCCTATGTTCACTTCCTCGAATCCTCACAGGACCCTGAAAGACAAGCAAGGGAGATAGAGCATTAACTCTCAGATAACCTGCTGAAGTCTCTCAGCCACCAGACAGCTGGTTTGTCAGATTAGCTGAACTCAGTAGGGTGGAAACAGAAATGACCTTGGATCCTTCTCAATACTGTCACTTTAGGTTGACTCTGTCTATCCCTTCTTCCCCCACCTTGGGATGAATCCTTGAGAAGAAACCAGCCTTTTCCGTGTCAACTCTGGGTAGTAAAACTCATTTCAAGTCATTATCAAAATTTCCGTTTTTCATCCAGTTGAAAACTTCTGGCCACTCAGTCCAGCCTTGGACCTAGCCACTCGGTCCCTGCCTTCCTTGTTTAGCTGACTTGCGGGGAGGGGGCCCATCAAGGCAGATGTAAGAGAGAGTTTTGTCTGTCTAACACATTTGTACTGTGGCCTTGGGACCCTTTCATGGAGTCTTTGAGGGTCCCTAACAGAGCCTTCAAGGTAGAGTTCTCAGATCACATGTTGCAATCCATGTGCTGAGGTTTGCATTCTTACCTACTATATGCAGTGATACCCCAATGCCTCTTTCTGCTGATCTCACCTTGCCCTGGCAGGAATTCTGTGGGGAAGAGAATGTTCCAAGACAGTGATCCTGACCCTTGGGGAGCTCACACGTATCCTTGTCCCACTGCTGATGATGGATTGGTGCCACTCCCCCTCTAGTCATCCCCTCCTCACTCTGCCCTCAGAATTTAGAATCAACTGCATCTCCAGGTGTGTATCTGAACCAGTCCCCAGTGTCAAACAGAATGGTCTCTGGGAGATCCTTTTGAAGTCCCTTCATCAGGTGAAGATGACTGGCACAACTGTTCCCTCCCTTGTTGAAAGGTGGCATGGCTTCCCAAATAAGTACCAATATTAGTCTCTCCAACCCCAACCTCTCCCTTCTTCCCTAAGTTTGATAATAGGAGTGCAGATGTAGTTTTACAATACTTTAGCAAATGTGACTCAAACTGTCAGGCAATTATTGCACTAAACTCCGCTTTTAAAACTCAGGTAAGGCCAATTTCTCATGTCTATAATCCAAGCATTTCGGGAGGCAGAAGTGGGAGAATCACTTAAGCCCAGGAATTCAAGGCCAGCGTAGGCAATATAGCAAGAACTTGTTTCTACCAAAAAAAAAAAAATCAGAAAAATAAGCCAGGTATGTGTGGTGGCACACACCTGTAGTCCCAGATACTTGGGAGGCTGAGGCAGAAGGACTGCCAGCACCCAGGGGGTCGAGGTTGTGGTGAGCCATTTTCATGTCACTGCACTCTAGCCTGTGCTACAGAGTGAGACCCTGACTCCAAAAAATTTTGTAAAATGTAAATAAATAAAAATCAGCTAAGATGCAATCGCTAGAACCTCTTTTAAACTTCACTTTGCAGTTGGAGAGCCAGAGTTCAAAGTGAGGCGACCTTACTCTGCACTCCCTTCTTCCTCCAAGTCATGCTGTGCACAGAACACAGTTCTGTGTTCCAAGCACGAGGGGAAATATCAAAAGGCAGGACACAGGGATTTCATTCCTGTATCTGCAACTAACTCCTCCTGGGATGCTGAATGAGTCATCGATTCCTTTGTACCTGAGTCATCCCTTGCACCACACGCAAACTAGAATAGATCAACTCAAGTTTCATTTTTAGGTCTATCATTCCATGTCTCTGTGAAATATCTCCCCATTTCCATCCCACAATTGCCAGCTGACTGAAAAGTTTGCTTGACAAGATCAAAAGATCCTGGTTCCTTATGAATGCGTTTGCACTTCCCCATTGTATGCAGTAGACACACAAAAAGAATTTTTTATTGATTCCCCTGCACTCTGATATACACATACAGAATTATTTGCAAGAGAGTAAAAACTACCCTGTAGTCTAGCAAAATGAGTTAATCATTGCATTATAGTACAATTACTAGAGTTGGAAAGAAAACTTACAGTCATCCAGTTTAATGAAGATACCATTTTACTCTACTGTCCATCTCTGAATCACAATATCCCGCCCTTATTTCTTCTCTGTGCACAATGTCTTAGTGTTATGGGATGTTCTAGAATGCAGTACATGTTTTCAGTTCAAGGTTTTTAAAATGGACTGACGCACATTTTAATTTAATGTACTATTTACACCTCTGTGTTCCCATTGTGCTTTTGACTTAATTTTGAAGGAAAGTTTAGGTTGTATTACAACCATTTGCCCACCTACTT